TCTCCGACTCAGTTTTCATATATTTTTTTCTTAATATTTTTTCATATATATTCTTAATAAATCATTTTTATGTTTTTAAACTAAAAAATTTAAAGCCATTACATATTTATTTAATTATTTAGAATTTTTACATAAAACACTAATATAAGAATATTAATAATTTCCCAAAAAACTACTAAATTCATTATTATTATTTTAATCTTATAAATTTTAAGATAAACTCATATTTTCATCATAATGCCATACAATACAAAAACATTTTTCATTTTCCACATGTATGTATTTTATATTACTTATCTTTATATAATTTATATTTTTTAAATTCTAAATTTCTCTCCATTCAAATATATAATCTTCGAAATTATTTACGATTTTCATGGTTATTTATATTGAAAATTATTAATATTATTTATTATTTTAGCTTATTTAGAATATACGAGGAGTCATTAAATAAGAAAAATATTCAATTTCTAATGCGAATTCGTTCCCTTGTATATTTTCAATGTAACTTTTAGTATTTTATAATGCAAAACTTGCTGTTTAATAATTTGAATTGATTTCTTCTTATTTTTTATTTTCTATTTTAATTTTTTAATTTTATATTTTTAAACTGTTTTTTTCATCTTCAATTTTCATTTTATTTTTATTTATTTGATCTGGTGATATATTATAATCAGAAAAAATGCTATTTCTTTTTTTTTTTTAATTCATTTGTTTTTCTTTTTTAATAAATTCGTTAATATTAATTTCTAAATTTTATTATATTTATAATATATATAATTACTTATTAAAAATATATATATATACTAAATCAAATAAGAATTTTTTTTTAAAATAAGTATATTAAATAATTAATTAATATTAAAAGTATAAAAAAAAATTATAATTATTTATATTATTATGATTAATAGATAAAATATTAAAGTTGAAAATATTAATTAGCAATAATATGTTCTATTATTTCATAAAATGATAATTTTATTTCAAATATATATATATATATATATATATATATATATATATATATATTATTATTTGTTTTTAAATAAATAATTTTATATGTAAATATTAAAGATAAATATAAATATTTTATTTATAAAATTATGATATATTTTTATTTTATTATATTACACATACTAAAAATTTTTAATTTTTTTTATATATATTGAAATAATCTAAAAAAAACAGATTATTATTAATTTAGACTTTTTATTTCGATATTTATTTTATTTAAAAAAAAAATATTATTTTTCTAAAAATTTTTATTAAATTAATTTTATTGTAAATATTTTTTTTAAATTTTTATTCTAGTTATAAGACAAATACATTTATATATACAAATATTAAAAACAGTTTTTTATAATTTAAAGATAAAAATAAATTTTATTTAAAAATTAAAAATTAGATATTTAAAATTAAATAATAACAATAATCAATACTTATATATATATTTGTAAAAAATATAATTATGTTTTAAAGATTTTTTAATTTTAATATTGTAAACTAAAAAAATAAAAATTCATTAAAAACATTTTTTATTTAAAAAAAATAAAAACAAAAACTTTTCCATCAAAAAATCAATTATTAAATAATGTTAGGTTTAGGATATTTATAATTATTAATTTTATACTACAAAAACTAATTAGGTATTTCCGCAAGTAAAAGATTTGCCAACTACTATTCTTTTCCCAAAAAATCTCTAAAAGCAAAAAATTAAACTAAATCTCTCTCTTTCTTATGACTATTTTTGCTCCTAATCTTTAAACAATCATTTAAGCCTTTCATTTAATCAAATTTATCACTTCCAACTCCTACAATAATAACTGATAAAGGTAAATTACTAGCCTAATCTAATAAATTAATAGTTACTTCCATATCATCAATTGCTCCATCTGTAATAATAAAAAGTATAGTATATAAATCTTTTCCTATATTACTTTTCGCAATTTAACTAACTAATTATATAATAGGTCCAAAGTATGTAGGTCCGCAAAAAACTACATTTTTTAAAGCATTTTAATAGCAATTTATTATTCCATTTATACCTTCTACTTCATCATTTTCTTTATCTCCTGTAAGTGGAAAGCAATGGTCAGTATCATAGGATTTATAATTAGGATAATTCGGGACTCCACCAAAGCCGTACATTTTAATTCTTTAATAAGTATCGTAATTTAACAGGACATTACATGTTTTTTTTAATATCATTAAATATTCATTTTTTTATAAATCAGTAGAATGTAATGACATATTATCATTAATATCTCCATTTGAAGCTGTAAAATCTATAGCTGAGACTATATTAATTTATTATCCTCCTTCTAGATAATCAAGAAAAGTGGGAGGAGTGATTTTAATATTTTAAACAATTAAAAACCTAAATTTTTTGTCCTTTTTTTTTCTTTCTTCGTTTTATAATTCAATTTTTTGCCCTTAATTTTCTATTAAATCTTTCATTGATTTTTAAATTGACCCAACTATTCGGTGTCCTCCAGTTCTTTCATGATCCCAACATTCGATTATTATTTATTTCTCGAAATCTCCATGGCTTAGTTTTGTGATATTTTAACGGTGTGATTTCCATATTGGGTTTAGGTTGTTTTTTATTACTTCAGTTTCATATACTAGGCTTTTTTATTTATTTTAATCATCATTATTGAATATATTAAATCGCAAAAAAGGGTCAGTGAGTGTAAAAAAGTCCACATTTATTAAATTTACACCCGACCAATCCCATTCTATGGTATTCGATATTGTTACTTTTTCTTGCTTTATGTATAGTTTACCTTAGTCTTTTTTACCGTCCTTTGATTTTAATTATACTTCGAATTTATTCGCACGATCTACCATTATTTGACCTAATTTACATTTGCCTTTAGCTATTAGATCGTCATTTGTTATATCTTTATCATATATTTCGAATTCTAGTTTTTGCTTTTTCTAGAAAATATACTCAATCTATATTGGAGTGGTCCATGTGAAACATTAGATGTTTTATTAAGGCTCTGTTTGGCCTAATAAATAACGCTTTTTATTATCTATTAAATATAATTTTAAGAAGAGGACAGATTTTCTGAGAAGGTCAGTTTCTTTTAGATTTTAACCAGTAAAAAATAAGTTTATATGGTCTTTTTATTACATTTATTTTGTGATTTTATTTTTATTTTTTATTTTAAATTATAAATTTTTTAGTATATTTTTTTTTATCTTTCTTTTTTTTTTTTTCATGGGTAAAACGATAAATTTTAGTGCATTTTTTATTATTATATGATTATTTTTATATTTATTTTTATAAAATTATTATAATATATTATATTACATCTATATTATATATAAATATATTATATTATTTAATCTATTATGTATAATAATTAATATCAAACAACAATGTATTTAAATATAATAATTATTATATGAACTCTGTCTTTCTTAATATTATTTATTTATATTAGTTCTTTTAAATATTCAATTATAAATTCTATATAAATAATAGATATTTTTATGTATTTATTTACTATATTTCAAGCTTATATAATTTATATTATTTATTTATAAATAATTAAAAATTTAAACTTAATAATATAAAAAAGATAATATAATTAAATTAAATATATTTATATATTAAAAAAAAAAATATAAAATATGTAAAAAAATATAAACAGTAATAAATTTTAATATATAACGAAAAATAAAATATATATATATATATATATAAATAGAATAATTTTCAACAAAAAACAATATTAAAGTTATTATCTAAAAATATTTAAATTTTCAATTAGTTAATTTAAATAAATAATAATATTAAAAAAAACTCAATATAAATAAATTTTTAAATAAAATATTAATTAAAATTATATAAATATTAAACATAAAATATATCTAATTAAAATATATATTATTAAAATTTAAAATAAACAATTATTATCATTTTTAATTATTTATTTTTAAACATTAATATAATATTTAATTTTTAAAAAGAAAAGAAAAAAAATATAGAAAAAAATTTAAAAATATATATATATATATATATATATATATATTTATATTTATATTAATTTATTAAAAAAATTTAATGAGTTATTTAACAGATTCTAATTCAGAAGAAGATGAAGAAATTTATTCGTAATAAGGAATCGAAACATGTGCCGAAAGTGATTTTTAAACAATTTGTAATGCAGTACGAAATTGTTTTTAAAATTCAAGATTAATAAAAAGATTAGTTAATAAAGCAAAATAAAAATAAATAAAATAATCAATAAGAAAGCCAGTTTTTCAATAATAATTTTATTAAGCTGATCCTTTGTTTAAAAAATTATTTGATAATATACTATGTATTTTATTGTTTGTCAGTATAATAGGATTGATTATTTTAAGACTATATGAAAAATATAAATATAGAAATGTTAATGTATTATTTAATTGTTCATAAAACATATAAGGAAAAGAACATTTAAAAATTTTCAGTTAATGTTTAAAATAAAATAAGGTTGAAAATATTAATTTTTTTAATTATTTTCTAGATTTGCATGTTTTCTTTTATACAGTTTTAATTATTTGTATTAGTATAAAAATATATAAAATAGTGAAGTTTAAATATTAAGTAAGCTTTTAAGATTATTGGTAGAATTATAAAAAAATACATAATATATAAAATATCTAAAAAGTAAAAATTCACTAATTATAACGAAATTAGTATAATATGTGAATTTAAATAATTATTATATATATTATGAAAAAGAGAATATATATATATATAGATATATATATATATATATATATATATATATATATATATATATATATATATAATTTTAAAAATTTAATTAAATTTTATAGATAATTGTTTAACTAAACAATAAATATATAATAAATAACAATTTAATATGATAATTAAATAATTTAATATAGATAAAGTTATTTTAAATTTATTTTTAATATAATGTAATAAAAAATATATTAAAATAATTAATATTATTTAATAATTATTCATCAAAAATGAATAAAGTTTAATATTATTAATTTATTTTTAATTTAAAAAATATATTATATATTTATTTTTCATTAATTTTCTTAAGATTCTTATATATCTTCACATATTTATTTTAAAACCTTACATCTTTCTTCACATAATTAAAAATTTTAGTTTTTATTATCTAAATTTTATTTAATTATATCAAAACCTTCTTAGCAAGCTTTTTAAGCTCCTTGAATATCACCTTTCATTTCCTTTATTACACTGATATCAACAAAATTATTTCCAACTGACATTTACACACATATATATATATATATATATATATATATATATATATATATATATATACTTTTATATATATAAATATATAATTTATATACTTTCTAAATGATTTTATTTTAAATGTTTTTATTTAATTTTTAATTCTCTTTCTAAAAGAGGAAGTGCTTTTTCATATTCTCCCATTGATTGATAAATTACAGCTATGTTTTTCAATATTCCAGTTACTAATATTTTATTTATAATTAATTATTTATATATATCTTTATTATTATTCAAATAAAATATACAATTAATGCTATCAATCCCATATATTTTCTCTTCTATTTTTTATGATTTTCTAAAATATTCTAAAGCTTTTTAATAATCATTTTTTCCAAATAAAGCTGATCCAAAATTGCTATAAGTAGAAATTACTTGTAAAATAATTTAAATATATAAAATTAAAAAAAAATTAAATATATTACAATCAGGATGATCTTTTGGTAATTAAGATTCTTAAATTTTAACTGCTTTTTCAAAATATAAAATAGCTTTTGCAAAATTTTTCTTATCTAAATAAATTGTCCCTATACTTGTTTAAGTAATAGCAACTTTGTTTTTAATATAAGATTTATATGTATTTGTTATATATAAGAAAAAAATATAAAAATTATATAATATGAAAATAAATAAAAAAAAATTAAAATTGAAATTATTCTATTAACAAAGCTATTATTATAAATAATTTTAAAATAATAAAAAAATAAAATATATATATATATATATATATATATATATATTATATATATATATATAATCAGGATGATCTTTTCTTGCATATTTTATCTATTATTTTAATGCATTTTCATAAAATTCAATAGCTGCATCTAAATCTCCTCTATTCCAATGACTAAATCCAATTTATTATAAAATATCGGATCCTTATATATTATTTAAAATAAATTATTAAATTTATTATTTTACCTAATTATACATCTTTTAAAAATTTTTCGTTGATTTTATAGGCTTAAAAAAGCAAATCAAATGAATCTTCCATTTATCTTTAGTTTCTTAAATTTATTGATTTTTCTATTTTTCAGCTATTACTTATCTAATATGTTCTTCATTGTCTTCTTATTCTTAAACCGTTGTTTATGTAGGTTTTTTAATCATTTCTTTTTAAATTATAAATTTAATAATAAATTAAAATATAAATATTAAATTAATAATAAATAAATAAAAATAATTATGTATAATTATTTTTTTTAAAAAAAATAAATTGATTTATATTTATATAATATATAGTATTTTATCTAAAATAAACAACTAATATTAAAATATTTTAAATGAATAAAATTTATATATATGAATATTATTTTCTAATGTAACTTTATAGTTATTTTTATTCATATAATTGATTTTTATATATTAATTACAATTTATATTATATTTAATGTTTATTATATTATATTTTTGTTTTAATATATTTCTATTTATTAAAAATATTTTTTATTTTTTATATAATTTTTAATTTTTTTATTTTATTTTAATGAAATATTTTAAAACTTAAATAATACACAATAAACACAAATTAACATTCAAAATGCATTTATTTTTTCTTTATTATGATAATTTAATTTTTTTAATAAAAAAAAACTATTTAAATAAATTATTATATATATCATACTTAAGTCTAAACTTAATTTAATTTATATTATGAATACTAAAAATTTTATATTGTTATTTAGTCTAAATTTTTTTACATATATAACTACTATTAATTTTGATTTCTTTTTCTAATATTAATATAAAAATCCTTTAAGATAATATTTATATATATATATATGTATATTTATATATATTTATATATATCTAATTAATATTTATTTTCCTTTCATTAAAATACAATTTTTCATTTTAAATTTTAAAAATAAATATCTCAAATCCTAAATTATTTTTGTACATGTTTTTTTATGAATAAACATGCTTTTAAAATTATATTCAAAAAATCACTATTTTCTCTATCTTGTTTTTTTTATTTTATTTAATTAATTATTTGTTTATAATTAAATTTTTTTATATATTAAATCATTTATACTAAATAATTATATAATATTATGTAAAATAATTTTTATAATTGTATATATTGAATTTAAACTTATGTTTATTGAATGCAAATAATATTCAGTATATTCTGTGTATTATTATAATACTTAATTTTAAATTAATTGAATTTTTTATTTCAAAGATTCATATAAATAAAAATTTTTGATTAATTTTTATATTTAAAGTTAATTATTAATTTTAATTACAAAAATTTAATAAAATTGAAAAATATAAAAATTTTATCGATTAATTTTCAAATATATAAAAATTAATTATAATTAATTATAATTATTTTTAAAATTATATAAAAAAATCTTTTTTTTTTTATAATAAATTATTGTTTATTTTAATAATAAATTTTACTTTATTTTTTTTAATGTTAATGAATAAACTAAAAAAAAAAGAATTAAATTTTTTATATTATAAATAAAATGAAATTATTTCTTATGTTATTATAATTATAAAAAATTATATTTATTTTTAAATAAATTTTTATATTAATTATTTTAAATATAATAATTATAAATTTTTATAAAGTTATTTTTTTTTATATGTATACATATAAGAATGATTAGAATGTAAAAAAAAAAAATTATTAAAAATACATAAAATTATTTTTAATTTAAAAAAAAACAAAAAATAAATATATATATATATATTTAAAAAAAACAATTTAAATTAGAAAACAAAATAAATTATTTAAAAAAAAAATATATAAAAAATAAATATGTCATAATTAAAAAATACAAGACCTCCAGTAAAATAAACAAGAAAAGCCCGTTCCGAACTAACAGAAGAATAAAAACAAGAAATAAAAGAAGCTTTTGATTTGTTTGATACAGATGGAACAGGCTATATAGATGCTAAAGAATTAAAAGTAGCAATGCGTGCACTAGGATTTGAGCCAAAAAAAGAAGAAATAAAAAAAATGATTAATGAAGTAGATCGTGAAGGAAGAGGAGTTATTGAATTTTAAGATTTCTTGGATTTAATGACAATTAAAATGGTATTTATAAAAAAAATTGAAATATGTTTATATATATATTTATATATTTATATATTTATATATATATATTTATTTACTTATTTATATAAATGTTTATATTTTTTTTTTTTTTCTTATATATATTTTATTTATATTTATATTTTTATATATAAGGCCGATAGAGATCCTCGAGAGGAAATATTGAAAGCATTTAGATTATTTGACGATGATTAAACAGGAAGAATCTCTCTTAAAAACTTAAAAAGAGTTGCTAGAGAACTTGGAGAAGCTATGACTGAAGAAGAATTATAAGAAATGATAGATGAAGCTGATAGAGATGGAGACGGTGAAATTAGTGAAGAAGAATTCATTAGAATTATGAAAAAAACTAATTTGTTTTGATTTTTTTTTCTTATATAATGTTTATTTTAAATTTTTTTATATTTTGTTATTATTTCTATTTTTTTATTTTTACAATTAATTTTTATGAAATTATTATTTTTTGATATCATTTTTTATATTTTGATTAATAATTTTTTATAATTTTTTTTATTTTTTAATATATATTTTATATATTAGTTTATGAATTATTTGTTTCTAATAAATATTTTAGTATATTATTAAAATATTAATTATAATTGTAAATATCCTTTTAAAAATAACTTTTTATTAATTATCATTTTAATTTATGTATATATTTAAAAAAAAAAATAGTTTAAATTTCAAAAAAAATAAACAACCCTTTTATCACATATAAATAAATACTTAAACGAATATAACTAATTATAAAAAAAATAAAAGAAAAATTAAAATATATAATATTTACAAAATTAAGAAATATAAATTCTATCAAAATAATATTACACGTATGCCATTAGCAATAAATAATATATAATATCTAGTAATTATAAAAAAAATTAATAAAAATATTATTATTAAAATAAAAAAATAAAAAAAAAAAAAAAAGATAAAAACAAAAAAAACAAAAAATGATAGAATTAATTTGTATTTTCACAACAGGCGGCATAATATTATTCCAGTAATAATTTTCCACATTAAAATCCGATCTAGTAGATAATTTAATAAAAAAAAATCTTATAAACGATCGTTCATCTGAAAAATCTTATCTCTACGACTCTTATCGTGTAATGTGGAAAAGTAATACTGACAAAAAGCTTATATTTATGATAGCTTATGGTGAATTATAACATTTACAATATGCCGATGTTTTATTAAAATTAATTGAAGCTACATATATAAACGAATATTTTTCACAAATAATAATAAAAAATAATATAATAAAATCCTTCCCTAAATTCGACGAAGGCTTCTAATAAGCAGTATAGACATGGTAAAATCACATCCGAAAGGAAAAACTATAAAAAGGTATGAAAACCTTCGAATAAACATAAAAAGGATAAGAAATAGAAACCAAAAAAAAAAAAAAAACATCCACAAAAATATCCACTACATCTAAATACGAAACCAATAATGAAAATTATGACGAAAAAGATAATAGTATGCATAATAATAGCGATAATAATACTAATAATAACGATTCGGCAAGTTAAAATACTAATTCATGTGATTCTAATGATGAATTAGGCTTTAAAAACACTTTACAGGAAACTGAAGAGGCTAGAAAACGTTTAAAAGGTAATATTTGAAAAAAAAAAAGCACATAACATAACATATATAATATTATATATACATAAAATATAGAAAGAATGGCAAAAAAAGCTGAAAAAAATACAATATAAAAATCAACTGTTGTAGTTGAAAATACAGAAGAAAACGCATCGTCTTCTAAAATAAAAAAAAGCAAAGAAAAAGCCATAGGTACAAGTTAGAAAATAAAAAAAAGTACACTCTAAGGACTTGACTTTAGTCATGCTAATAAAGAAGAAGACATAAAGAAATTCCAAGATTAATATTTAGGAGGAGATGATTAACATATAAAAGGATTTTACGATCTAAATGATTTATCTTCAGATGAAGATGAATAAAATATTAAAAAAAGAGGTTTTTTTGCTTCTTTATCGAATTCATTGAAATAATTAACAGGCTCAAAAGTAAAAAATATATTATATATAAAAAAATAAATAATATATAATATATTAAGGTATTAGATGCTTAAGATTTATAGCCAGTATTAGAGAAATTCAAAGATTAATTAATGAGTAGAAATGTCGCTGAACAAATAGCCTAATAATTATGTGATAGTATAAAATAAAATCTCTTAAAAACTAAATCTTAGGCCTTTACTACTTTATATAAGACCGTAAAAGAGTCACTTTAAGAAGCCATAAGTAAAATTTTGACCCCAAAGACTAATATAGATATAATCTCGGAAGCTTTAAGTGCCAGAGAAAAAGGAAAACCTTATATAATAACCTTTATTGGTGTAAATGGGGTTGGAAAATCCACAAATTTAGCTAAAGTAGCTTATTTATTTAAGACCTAAGGATTTTCTGTTATGTTAGCAGCTTGCGATAATTTCAGAGCTGGAGCAGTTGAATAAATAAAAACTCATGGAAGGTGTTTAAATATTCCAGTTTATGATAAAGGATATAGGGAAGAACCTGCAGATATTGCCTTCTAGGCTATCAGGGAGGCTACAATGAAAAAAATAGATATCCTCTTAATTGATACAGCTGGTAGAATGTAAGATAATGAACCTTTAATGAAACAATTAAGTAAACTTGTAGTGATGAATAATCCTGATTTAATTCTTTTTATTGGAGAGGCTGTAGTAGGGAATGATGGAACGGACTAACTTATGAAATTTAATAAGGCGTTAGTTGACTTATCACCTAAAGAAAATATTAAGGAAATTGATGGTATTATTTTAAGCAAATTTGATATTGTAGAAGATAAAGGTTTTTTTTTTTATTTCAAAAAATTTTTTCTTATATTTCGAAAAAAAAAAAAAAAAAAAAATATTTTTTCAAAAAGTTTTGTTGTTGTTATTTTTTTTTAATATATATATAATTTTTATTTTTTAATTTAAACTTTTTATAAAGTTGGAGCAGCTTTAAGTATGACTTATAATACAGGAAAACCTATTGTTTTTTGTGGAGTAGGATAAAAATATCCTCATTTAAAAAAATTAAATGTAAGAACAGTTGTTCATGCACTATTAAATTGATTTTATTATTTATATAATATTATACTTTTTGAGAAATAATTAATTTTTTTTTTTTTTTAATCATATTATTTATTATTGTTTTTTAATTATATTTTATTTTTATTTTTTTTAAAAAAAGTAAATTTTAATTATTTTTTGTTTAAATATTCTTTAATTAGCAAAATATCACAAACTTTATTATTTATATCTAAATATTTAATAACCATATATCTATTATTTAATTAATTCATTAGTTATTATTATAAACAATAATATTCTGGTTTATTTTTTATGTGTACTCTCTTTATTTCATCTGATAATCCGAAGGTTAAAACTGACAAAAAAAAAACATTATTTCCTTTATCGGGTTAAAATATTAAATTTTGACTAACAAACAAAAAGATTGTTAAACTAAAATTATTAATATTTCGAATTTTTATTTTTGTTAATATTATTAGATTTTATAATTTAAAAATTAACTTATTATTAAGAATAATAAAACTTTAAAATAATGTTCTATGAAGCATTTTTTATTGAATTAAAAATTAAATATTATTTAAATATAAAAATAAAAAATTATTTTTATTAATATTATTTGAATTTAATGTTATATATATATATAAATTCATACATATATGTATTTAAATAGAATATTATTTATATTTTTTTAAAAAAAAATTAATTTTTCCTTATACAAATATTTTTTTTTTTTTTTAAATAAATTTTATATTTTTTATTCAAATAAGACCATTTTATTTCATAATTTATCATTATTATAATATTATTTTTTAAATTTTTATTTCGTTCCTTTAATTTCTTATTAAAGTATTTTAATAGTAATTAAAGTATAAGCTCCTACAATAATCAAAGGTACTATAAAAGTAATAAAAATAAAAATCATTTTTTTATCATAATTAATTCCAAATTACTCTGTATTTATTTAGTTAGAAATTTCGTCAAACTAATCATATAATTTACCAATAAAGGTCTACTTTTTACTTATTTTTTAACACTAAATTAATTGTTAAATTATGAAAACTATTAAAATTTTCAATTAAAAACGCATTTTTTTATTTATATTTGCAATATATATTATTAATAATAATAAAAATATATATATATATATAAAAATTCTTAGTTTTAGTTTTAAAATATTTAAAAAATAACAAAATTTAATTCAAAAAACGATAATAAAAATTTTTACTTTAATAAAAGAAAAACAAGAAATAATATATATATATTAATTTTTATAATAATAGTTAATTTTCCAAACAACAAAATACTATAATATATATAGCTTTATAATTTATTTCAAGATTATATACTTTTATAATTTTCTCCACTACTAAATTCGAAAGCCCTAGGATTTCTTTATATAAAAATATATTATATTAAATAAATAATAAAACAAAAAATACTTTAAAAGGAAATCTTAAACAGCTTATTTAATTGATTAATTAGGATAAATAGGTTATTTAATAGGTTATCTATTAACCGGATCAATATACCCATCTCTTTTTATATGATCTTCAATGGCTTCTTTTTCATAAGTATGCCCAGATTCTGTAGTATATGGATCTTCCATTAACTCAAGTGTTATTTTACATGATAAATAATCAGGAATATTATAATCATATTATTAATAAGGATTTCCAATACATATTATAAACTTTAAATAATAAAAATAAAAAATATGAATAAATGATAAATAATACTTCTTATAATTCTTAATTAAATTAACTTTCATTTAAATTTAAACTATTTAAATATTTCTTATAATTATCAATTTTAATAATTTTATTATTATAAATTTCTTCTTATTATTTATACCATAATAATTTTTTAGCCCTATAAATATAAACAGAAATCTCTTTTTCATATTAACTTTTTTTATCACCAGCAAAATTACTACATAAAGTTAAAGCTCTAGTTAATTTTTTTATACCATTTTCTATTTTTTATATTCCTCCTTCATTTTTACCTAATTCACATAATATTTATCCACATAAAAGTTATCCTTTAATATTACAATCATCTATCTCTATAGATTAAACAGCATCTTCAAAAGCCTTTTTATTATTGAAGTTTTTTAATATATATATATATATATATTTATATCATTTTTTTACTTTTTTTGAATTTCCCTATATTTTATAACATCTTCCTCTATTAGAAAAATAAACAGATTAAGAACTATCGATTTCAATGGCTTTAGTATAATATTTAATAGCCTAATCATAATTTCCTTCTTTAAAAGATTAAGTTCCTTTCATTTTCCAATATGCTCCGGTATTTGAAGAGAGATTTTATTAAGAATTTTATTATTATTTTTATTATTATTGATTTTTTTTTCTTTTTTATAATCAGCTTTTCGGAATAAATTTCGAGTATTTTAAAAAGTTGGTTAAGGTTCATTATAAAAATTACTTTATTGAAAATTATTAGTATTATTTTATTATTAAATATTTGTTTAAAAAATTTGGTTTTATTATTATCTTTATTAATTTTATTATTATTATTATTAATTTGGATGATTTTAATATGTAAATTATTGCTATTATTATTAAAAATTTTACCTTTATTATTATTAATCATTATTTTATGATTATGGTCTTTATTGAAAAAAACTATTCTGGAATATTGGATTAAATACATCTGAGAAAAATTAATTCATGTCTGGATTATTATTTGATGATTGTTGATACGATTATGTATATTATGTTGTTTAGGTTGGAGGCATATTTGTATTAAAATTAAATTAAAACATTTTTTTTTTTTTATTTTTTTTTTTTTTAAATTTAGTAATTTTGCTTTCTTTTTTTTAATTTTTTTTTTTTTTATTATTATTATTTATTAGTTTTTTTTTATTTTAATATATATGTATATATATATATATTTTTTTTATTTTCTTTAATTGTAATTTAATTTTTTTTATATTTTATTTAATTAGAATTATATTATTTTTATTGAAAAAAAAAAAAAAAAAAATTGTAATAAATGGTAAATTTAAAAGTAAATATATTTATAATTATTTATAAATGAAATATATATAGAATAAACGAAAACAAATATATAAATAATAAATATTATTTATAAAAATCATAGAAAAATAATATATAAAACTAAATAATAAATATATATTTATATAATAAAATAAAAAATTAGAATTATATAATTTATGATAAAAATATAAAGAAATTCTTAAAAATATTTATATTATTCTATTTAATTATTAGAAATATATTAAAATATATATATATATATATATATATATATATATAAAATAACATGGATTCAAATTATAATAAATATAAAAATTATAAATAAAATAAATATTTTTAAAACTTTTAATTGCCAATAAATAGTAAAAATTAAATTAATAAATATATATTTATATGGATAAAATATTTATAAATAATTATGTATATATATATTTATTTTTTTTAAAATTCAATATTTATATTTTTTTATATTTTTTTTATAATAAAAAACTCTACTTTTGATATATTATATTAATATATTACTTTAATTTTATTTATTTTTTAAAAAAAGTTCTATTAATTTATATTTCATATTATTTTTAAATATAAAAAATATATAATTATTTATTATTAAAAATTTTATATAAATTATATTATAATATTTTTTTATTTAAATTTTTATAAAAATATATAAATAATTTTATATATTTTTATATAATTTTTATAAATTTAATATTTCATTTCATTTTGTTTATTTAAATAATTTTTTTTTTTAAATAATATTAATTTAATATAAATATTTTATTTACATTTTTGATTATAATTAATTATTCAAATATATAATAAATATTTTTTATTTTTTTTATTTTTTTATCCTATATTATATTAATTTATTTGTTCTACAAACAAACATATATAAAAAAATTATGATTTATTTTTATATTTAACAAATTTTTATTATTTAATTAATTCTTATTTAATTTTTGTTTAAACATTTCTTTATTTTTTATTTTTTATTTTTAATTTAAAAAAAATATATTGTAATAATATAATAAAAAAGAAGTAAATAAAAAATAATAATACAAACACATAATTATATATTAATTTTATTACCTTCATAAATACAAATAATTTAATTCCGATAATACACATATATAAATTTAAAAGATTTACACATTATATAAATTTTTTATTTAAAAAACAAAAAATCTCAATTAAAATATAAAAATAAAAAACATAAAAAAATATATATAAAGGCATAAATTGATAAAAATTAAATAAAAAAAATAAAATAAAAATAAAAAAAATTGTAAAATGTTGACATTTGGAGACGATATAATAGAACCAAAAAAACATGAAAAACTAAATAAAAAGTTATCATAAACAGAACCGAAAATTTAAACAGATTAAAAAGAATAAAAAAATCAAAAAGACATCGAAGAAGATTATAAAAATGATTAATAGCCAGAAAAATCATAATTTTAATTCATAGTTTAATCTCCAAAAACCTTAAAGCGTTTTGAAAATTTAAATAATATGAATTTTCTCCAAGAAAAAAAAAAAACTGACTAATCTCCAACATTAAATAATAACAATAGTGGCATATTTACCCATACATATTACCAAGAAAAAAGCCCAATAGAATCCCAAACGCCATAAAATTCCAAAAGATACCAAATAACAGAAAAAATGTTAAAAATAATTAAAATAAAAGATGTATTATTTACTACTTTATTGCTTTTACTTGACTCATTTATTAAACTATTGTCTCAATTTATTATTTATTCCCAAAAAGATACTTAATTATTCATTTCAGTTTCTTTTTTTGCATTTTCACTGCCTATAATAATCAAAACAAACATAAAAGAAAACATAAATAAGTCAAAACTTCATATAATAAACTGTATTTATAAGACTTTTCTTTTCGTGACTTTTTTTGAATGCCGTGTTTTTGCGGAGACTTAAAGTTCTAAACTAGAAAACATATTTTTCGGTATTTTTTCGTCTTTAATTTTATAAAATTTAGTATTAAAATTCCACTCTAAAATGATTTTCAACATTTTATATTTACTAATAATTTTTCTCTATATTTTTTTCCGAATAACTTCCTTTAATTATTTCCAAGAAAAAATTCATTGTTTTCTCATAATTATAATTTTCCTAATAATCTATCCATTCTACATATAAATTAATAAAATAGTAAAATAAATCAAAAAACAACACAAAGAAAACTCGAAAATTTTCTTCCAAAATCCAATTTCTTCTAAAATAAACTAAAATAATAATCCATATAATAATAATAATAATAATTAGGTAAATTCCCCACATTTTGGCATAGTCTCCAATTATTTCCAAAGCGCAAAATTAGAAAAAAATACTAATACAACCCATAATCATTGTACTAATTAAGTATTTTCACCAAGAGATGATTATATAGACTCAACTAGAGGTGCTTAATAAGAAATAAATGATGTTTCTTAGAAGACTATAATCTCGAATATTTTAAGTCCAAAAGAAATAGGGAATATCACAAGTCCAAAAGAAAGTGAATTAAACTTAGAAGAATCTTTAAAAATAGATGAATATTTATACAAAAACGATTAATAATAATAAAATAATACCCAAAAAATTAAATAAGAATAATAAACTTAATATTAATTTAGATTAGATATACTTGATTTGTTATTAATTAATATAAATAATGCAGTAATAGTAGTTAATTAATAAGACTCAAAAGTCTGTTATAATAATTAATAAGCCTGTAGAGTATTTAACTGTTCCTCAGATAAAATATTTTAATAATTAATGCCTTTAAAGAATATATTTTCATTTAAAAATACAATTTTGAATTTAAAAGAAATATTAATATAATACGAAAAACCTAATTATATATCAGAACTTGATACAATAAATGGTCTTTATTAGAATTTCGGATAGAATACCCGTGAAATAATGTACTGTGTATTACCTAAAAAAATCTTAAATAAGAAAAAGTCTAAATAACCAGAAAAATAACAACAAAATTAACTTTAAATTAAATCATTTTTTGATTAAAACTATATAATAGAGGTTGAGCTTTCCAAATTTAAATATAGAGGGGAATCATATATAATATTTAATATTAAAGATGTTAATTAAAACAATCCATTTACCGTAGTACATCAAATAAATCACAAAATGTAATACTTTGTATGTAAAATGATCTCAGAATTATTTATAGATACACAATAAATTAAACAATATTTAGATACAATGTAAAAAATACCAAAATAGTAAATAGATTATTAAGGATTTATTAATAAAATTGATTGTATTAATGAGTTTCTTTAAGATTTTGCAACTTCTTCACTTTTAATAAGTGGTACTTTTATTCCTGTAAAAAAAAATATTGATTTATATCAATTATCAAATGCTGTTATTGATAAAGTTAAAATGAGATCAACTTAATAATATACTTTTCAATTAAAATATAATGAAGATACACCTAGGGAAATTATTTAAGACTATAAAAGATTAGATAGAGTTTTTTATAATTTATTACTTTATTTTATTAATTTACATGATAAAGCATTTATATAATTAAATATTGCTAAAGAAAATGATAAAATTAAAGTATATAATAAAAAAATATATTATTTTATTTTATTTTATTAATTTATTTAAAATCAAAAAAAAAAAAAAGGTTACTATTAGTTGTACTTAATAAGATGAAAATGAAAATAATGCAATTAATTAATTTTCAAATTTCTGTTTAAATGAAAAAAATTGTAATATTACGAATGTTTATATGTTGGAAAATATGCATTATGGAATTCTACTTAGTAATAGTATTATATAAAAAATAGAGCCAAATGGAAACGGAATTACTTTTATAGCTTAAAATGACAATTCGTTTTGTTTTTATATATCTTTGTAATGAAAAATATATTATTAATATTTTTATCAGTAAATAATTTAAAATATATAAATATATATAATCAAAATTATTAATATATTAATAATAATTAAATAAAAAAGTTAAGTTTTTTTATAATTTAAAAATAAAAATTTAAATTAAATAAAAAAAAAGTTATATACAAAAAAAAAATAATAATAGATTAAAAGTAATTTGAATTGTAAATAATAAATATAAAAAATATTATTTTTAAAAAGTAAAATAAAATTATTAAAACATGTAGTTTCTTAATAATAAATTTATTATTATTTTTTAATTATTAAAGAAAGAAATTTAAAGATATAAATAAATAAAAAATAATAGAAAAATAAAAATAAAAATAAATAATATATTTATG